ACCAGAGCAGCGCACGGAAACACAGTTTACCTTCCTGCCTGTTTATCTACTTGCACTTTGACAGGCTTTCAAACTGCTAGGTTGGCAGGAGCAGGGACCGAGCAATGGCAGCTCACCCCGTTGCGGGGATTCGAACTGCCGACCTTATGATTGGCAAGCCCTAGGCTTTGTGGTTTAACCCACGTCCCATTAATATACATACCCTGGCCTTATTGACCATCAAAAACTATTATTGAAATACCTGGCATGAAGTAGTACAGTAGGAAATACCCTTATAACTGTTACTTAATTTCCTCTTATTACATATTATTGTCACCTCATTATATTTCTTTGTCATGTTTCATTTCCCACAGCTCCTGGGTCTTCTAAGTGAAGCCACATGCTTTTTGAGGATTGCGGTTGTCTGAAACTGATGCAATCTTTTCTGTGTTGTTGTTTATGCATCTATCATCCAATTTGTAAGTGAATGGATGAAATCACACATATTTTCTGCCACTTTCTGCCACTACCAAAAGCCTTGGTATCCATTTTAAATTCTTTCCTTTATGCCTCTTATTCTTACCAGAATAGTAAGCCAGTTACTGGACTGGACTGCTTCTGATTACAGGTGAAGTCTCCCATGATTGAATGACCTCCTTACAATGAAAACTCATTAATCAGCATATCAAGTAGAATAATTAGGCTTAAGCTATTTTCCCAACAGATAATATATAATTTCTGATCATTTGGGTCTTTTCCCTTCAGGCTGAACTTATTTGAACTGAAACACAATGAAAGCTATTATTTATTTTCAAGTCAGTGTTAGTAGGAATTTGTCTCCATGAATAACTTCAGTTATTAGGGAATAAGAAATTTAATGGAAAGCCCTCTGATGGAATACCCAGGCTGTTGGCTTTTCATGTAGAGAGGCTCAGCTTCAGATATTCTCAGTTATGAACTAGTATCAAGACAGAGCTGGGAAATTGAACTGAACATAACTCACCTCAAAATACAATAGCTACCACTGCAAACAAATTGGGTGAAAATTGAACAGATAAGTAAAACATCTACCCCTCATACTTTCTGGAGAAAGGATTGCATGAATGGTTTCCATGCTCCCAAATACATTTAGTATCATTTTTATCAACCGTGACTCCTATTTTCTCCTGGCATTGTGATATCAGGACCAGTCATATCAAAAAACAAGACACAAAATGCTGAATAATTTTTCTATATTCACACTGATCTATTCAACCAGAATTTTAATTCAGTCCTATGGACTCATTTCGTATCATAAAAATGTACTTACTACATCTCTAGGTCTGGTGATGGATGGCTCCTATATTCAATCTCATTAAAAAGATGAATTACAAAAGAGACAAATTCAGCAATGACAATATTATCTGAAATGCCAAGGTTCTTTTGAACCTTTCTCTGCTGATAACATATGTTGTCTAAATTCTGGCTCACAGTCTGAGGCAGCTGCAGCAGGAAAAGGAGCAGCAGCAGAGGTGTCCATTTGGTTACCTGCAAACACACCCAGCAAGACCCATTCATTGTGGCAGAACCACAGAACAGGAGTACCTCCTAAACAATCCTGAAAACTGCATAAGAGTTAAACACACTATGCTATTTCAGAGCGCTAAACACTTCTGTGTGGCAGAGCCATACAGCAGTATGCAAACTATTGTTTTGAAACTTGTCTTTATAAATGGAGAGGAACCATCACAAGTGGATTCTTTCCGACAGCAGTGGGATCCCAATACAATTATAAGAGGGCAGGGATTATAATTAAACCATAGATAATAAGGTCTTCTTAGATTCTCAACAATCAGCAAAGTTAAGGAAAACTTATTTAGCTCCCTTAAAACCCAGTGCCTGCCGGTGAAAAGGTGAGGGTTTGAATTTTGGGTGTGATGGACACCACAGGAGGGCAAGAGCCCCACTACATTTAGAAAAATAAAGAAAAAACACTCTGTCATGCTTACTTCAGAATGCTGGAGCTTATAGAAATGGCCCCACTTTGGAAATGCCAAATTTCAAACGGATATGATAAAAATGTTATAGGCTGGACCACTTACACTTTGGAACTCCCTGCCAGTTGACATCAGGGAGGCTTGCTAAGAACATTTTTGTTTTGACAAAATGTTTATCTACCCAGATAACTGTCCGAATTGGGGGGGGGGCACCACTTTGTGGTGGTTCCGGTCCTACTTGAATTGTCATTCCCAGAGAGTGATGCTTGAAGAGTGCTCTTCAGCCCAGTGGATCCTTCAATGTGATGTTCATCAGGATTTAATTTTGCCCCCTACACAGTTTAACATCTACATGAAACTGCTGAGTGGGGTTATCCAGAATTTTGGAGTATGTTGTCAGCAATATGCTGATAACACTCAGATCTACTTCTCCTTTACATCTGTAGCTGTGGCAATTGATGTGCTGGGCCATTGACTTGCCTTGGAAATGGACTAGATGAGAGCCAAGAAATGGAAGCTCATCTAGTCCATTCAGATAAGTGAGAGGCACAGTTAGTGGGTGGTTCCCAAGACCAGGTGGATGGAAGGTGTCCTGCTTTCGATGGGGTTACATTCCCTTTGAAGGAGCAGGTACGCAGCTTGGGCATACTACTGGACCCTTTGCTGTTGCTTGAGGCTTGGGTGGTCTCAGTGGCGCAGAGTGGCTTCCATCAGATTCAGCTGGTGGCCCAGCTGCACCCCTATTTGAACAGTGATAGCCTACCATCTGTTGTCAGTACTCTGTTGCAGTATTAGATTACTGCAATGTGTTATATGTAGGGCTGCCTCTGAGGATGGATCAGAAACTTCAGCTGGTGCAGATTTGTGGCAATCAGGTTGCTCACCAGAGCAAAACAGTTTGAGCATGTTACAGCAATCTTAGTCTGACTGCACTGGCTATCAGTTAGTTTCCTGGCCTAATTCTAAGTGCTGGTTTTGACCTATAAAGCCTTAAATGGCTCAGGATTGCAATACCTCTTTCCATATGAACCTACCCGGACCCCGAGATCATCTTCTGAGCACCTTCTTCATGTGCCTTCTCCTTGAGAGGTCTGGAGGGTGGCAACATGAGAACGGGCCTTCTCTGAAGTGGCTCCCCATCTGTGGAATGCTCTCCCCAGGGAAGTTCACCGGGCACCTTCATTAGATGCCAGGCAAAAATGTCCCTTTTTAACCAGGCCTTTGGTTGATTTGCATGACATCCTGTGCCCTTATAAAATGTTGGCTTTTCTGGGAGGGGGGTTATTGGGTTGTTGTCTTTATTTTGATTATACATTATGTGGTTTTATATTTTGATTTTGTTCTGTGAACTGCCCTGAGACCTCTGGGTATAGGGCGGTATATAAATTCAACAAAAAAACAACAAAAAAATAATAAACTATTCATAAAATGAATGCATCTGTCTATCTATATGGAAAATTCTCTGCATCTGATCATTGTACAGTTGAATACACATGTATGAACAGATGACATGGGAAGAAATGAATTGGAAGTTCTATGAAACCTCTTTCTAAGATGATAGGTCAAAGGATCACAGTGTTGGAAGGAATCCTGAGGATCATCTAGTCCAACCCCTAGTAGTGCAGAAATGTCTTATACCAGGCATGTAGCAACTGGCTTTGGCTTATATTTGTTGGATTCCAACAACATCTGGAGAAGTAGAACATTGGGTACTCTAGATTAGATTATTACAAAATAGAAGAAAAAGAAAATACAGGAAATAGGAAATGGCTTACAAGAAGAAACATAAGGACTGATCCTTCACCGATTGCACAATGATCTGGGTAGTCTGGGAGTGCATGTCAAACTCTGGGTTGGGGCAGAGGTTGCACACTGCACAGATGCCAATTTGAATAGAGAGGAAGATGACTGAGGCTTCTAGTCTCCTTCCTACCCTTTTCCTCATCCTGTTTCCTGGTTTGGTGACCATGAAGGGCCAGAGCCACAGTTCAGAGCACTGAGGGATAGCTCAGTTGGTAGAGCATGAGACTCGTAATCTCAGGGTCAAGGGTTCAAGTCCCAAGTTGGGTGAAAGACTCCTGCATTGCAAGGGGTTGGACTAGATGACTCATTTGATCCCTTCCAACTCTACAAATCTGTGATTTCCCAGTTAAAACTGGACAGTTGCACAGTATGAACTTGTGATTCCATATCATAGCACTTCCTTTGACGATAAATTTATTCCCTTCATGTTTCTGCAAATCCACCTTTCCCACATGGACTCTGTTGATAGACTGCTTGGGGAATGTGACTGGGCTGAAGGTATCATATCCAGTTGCCAACTCTCCATAGTTATAAAAGAACATTTCTTCCCCCAGCAGTTTTGTTAAAATCGATGCCTTTCAGAAATGAGTGAAGCTAGTTTGGAGAAGGAAAGCTCATGAACTGAGGCCAGAATTATTGCAAAATAACAGCAGCAGGAGCAACAACAATTTTCATTCAATAGCTGGGTTTCAGTTTTTTAACAGCCCATTTTTCCCACATCAAATTTCACATTAAGATGAAAGTCAGTATTATTCAAGAAAGATGTTGCAGTGTCTAAACAGTTGTCATTAGATCCCTGATGGATCACACCAATTGCACAAGTAGTCATGATCCTATTCTCATACTGGTCACACATATACCTACAGGAAACTCACAAGCAAAGTAGTAAGACTTAGCCTACATCAGAACTGTACATACTTGTGAGAGAAGAGTTGGAGTTTAACTATCAATCACTACTACCCATGATGGTCCTGTTCCACCTCCAGTGTTGGTGGCAATATGCCTCTGAATATTAATCAACAGGAATCAAAATTAGCAGAGTGTTTTTGTGTTCAGATTCCCTGGTACATCCACTTTTATTTATCAATAAAGAGGAGTAATTCATCAACTCCTGAGGTGGATAAGATTTGTGTTTCTGTCTCCCTGAGGGCCTTGGGATCCCACTACAATTGCAGAAGGACAGGAAGTCTAATTGCATGATGGAGAATTACCCAAACTGGAACAACTACAAAATGCAATCAATCAGATGGCAAAATTCTGTTTCCTTATTAGTTGATCCCTGGCATTCAGTTCTGGTCTAAGTACAATAATATAGAGCTTTGGGAGGAATATGCAACCCAGCAATCCCACACTAGAGGCTAAAATGCAGAAGATCTCCACGGCCACCATATATTTTCCTTTGGTGCTCAAGTAGGTGGGGACAAAGGACACCCAAACACTGCAGAACACTAACATGCTGAAGGTGATGAGCTTGGCTTCATTGAAAGTATCAGGCAGCTTCCGGGCAAAGAAAGCCACAGTGAAGCTGATGATGGCCAGAAGACCCATGTAGCCCAGGACAGTATAAAACATGGCGGCTGATCCTTCATTGCACTGCACAATGATTTGGGTAGTCTGTGAATGCATGTCAAACTCCGGGAAGGGAGGAGAGGTTGCCAACCACACTGCACAGATGCCAGTTTGAATAAGAGTGCAAAGGATGATGACTGACACTGCCAGCCTCTTCCCCATCCATTTCCTTATCCTGTTTCCTGGCTTGGTGGCCATGAAGGCCAGAACTACAGTGAGGGTTTTCGCCAACACACAAGAAACAGCCAGGGAGAAGACAATCCCAAACACTGTTTGACGGAGAAGGCAGGTCACCTTCCCAGGCTGCCCAATGAATAGGAAGGAGCAGAGAAAGCAAAGCAACAGGGAAGTGAGGAGAGTGCAGGTGATGTTCCAGTTGTTGGCCTTGACAATGGGAGTCTCTTGCTGTTGAATGAAGATCCACATTATCAGAAGAGTAATCAGAGAAAGGAAAAGAACAAATGAAGTCAGAATTATTCCCAAGGGTTCTCTGTATGATAGGTAGATTATATGCTTAGGCATGCACTGATCCTGGTTCTTGTTAGGATGCTGATCATCTGAGCACTTGTCACAATGATCTGCATCTGAAAAAAAAAGAGTTTCAATAGTTTAAAATGTTTATGCACCCTCTTAACTTATATAGCATTTATCACTTTAATATATTTTCATGAAATATGTCTGTGAACATATTTCTATTGGAGAGATTTTGAATTATTTTTTTTATGGCACCTATAAAGCAGAACTTTGCTGTAAACAGATGGCTGATGATGTCACTGGGTGTTTAATCCCCCTTGAATACTGATTTAACAAGTTGTACCATTAATCAAAATTTGGATGCTTAAAAGGGGATAGAACATTGTATAGATCCATTTAAAATGTAGGTTTATTGCATCACCCACAACAAAAAGACACACAATTGAAATCCAAAAGGGAAAAAAGCAGTAGCAGTATAAAGAAGATCCACATAAATATATCAAAACTAACTTCCAACAGTTCCCAAAATTTTAAACAATGTATTTAATTTTTTTTTTAAAGTTCCAGGTAGCCTAAGTAATTTAATATCCTTGGGTGCAAAGCTGAACATAGCACTAGACAAGCCTCCCTTGGGAGGTTGTTGCCTTGCCAGCCTGCCACTATTTGAAAAGTCCCCCTCTTTGATGATTGTCCACCTTTACAATGGTACCTCGGGTTACAGACACTTCAGGTTACAGATGCTTCAGGTTACAGACTCCGCTAACCCAGAAATAGTACCTCGGGTTAAGAACCTTGATTCAGGATGAGAACAGAAATCTCACGCTGGTGGCATGGTGGCAGCAGGAGGCCCCATTAACTAAAGTGGTACCTCAGGTTAAGAACAGTTTCAGGTTAAGAATGGACCTCCAGAACGAATTAAGTTCTTAACCCAAGGTACCACTGTACTAATTTGGCAGAGCAGGGCCTTTGAAGAAGATCTGTAGGTTCAGGTAGATACATATGAATGGATGTGATCTTTCAAGTAGCCTGTCCCCAAACCCTTTTGAGAAGATCCTTTTACTGAAATCTGCATTATAATTCCAAACCCATTCAGTCTCTACTTACCTGTCAGGTTTGAAATCATTCCCTCAGAACACTGGGGACAATCATAGCAACAAATCTGTTCCCCCTGTTTCACGATCCTTTTGTGCCCAGGATGGCAGCTCTCAACACATGTAGATTTAGGTAGGATCTATTAATACCCAGAAATAAAGAATTTAGGATGTAGATCAGTGATGTGACACCTTTAACCCACAATCCTAGCTAGGCTTTGCAGGGGTCCTGATTTGGACTGCTCTCCTGGCTGTGTATGTGTGTGGATTTCATGGTTTGCCTCAGATACCAAAATGTATTGGGCTGGCCATGGATTTACCCCACTCCTATGTGGAGCCAGGACTAGGCAGAACTTGGTTTGGGGGCCATCCATAAAGCAGGAAGATATTGGAAGATACTAGTAATTCCCACCTGCTTAAACCTCTGATTCCACACAACAGCACTTTCATTGACAGTGAATTGTTTCCCTCCAGAAGCCTGTTGGTTAATCCTTCCAACACAGATTCTGTGGATGGACTGATTGGGAAATATGACTGTGTTGATGATATCATATCCGGTTACTAATTTTCCATTTTCATTGAAAAATATTTCTTCCCCAGCAGTATTATTGAAGCGGATCTGTTTCAGAAAGTAGTTAAGCTAGATTGGATGAGAAAATAACATACACTCAGGCCAGTGTGGGGAAAGGGTTATTATGGTTCCCTTGGAATTCTCTGTCTTGTCCTTTTGCCACACTAAGATCATACTCAACTTGTTCTTACTCACGTATGATGGATGCAGATTATATATAATAAAATGCTTGTAAAGGTAAAGGGACCCCTGACATTAGGTCCAGTCGTGACCGACTCTGGGGTTGCGGTGCTTATCTCACTTTATTGGCTGAGGGAGCCGGCGTACAGCTTCCGGGTCATGTGGCCAGCATGACTAAGCCGCTTCTGGCGTACCAGAGCAGTGCACGGAAACGCTGTTTACCTTCCCGCTGGAGCGGTACCTATTTATCTACTTGCACTTTGACATGCTTTCGAACTGCTAGGTTAGCAGGAGCAGGGACCAAGCAATGGGAGCTCACCCTGTCGCAGGGATTTGAACCGCCGACCATCTGATCAGCAAGTCCTAGGCTCTGTGGTTTAACCCACAGCTCCACCTGCGTCCTTAATAAAATGCTTCCCACCTTGCATATTTGACAGGAAGCTGTAATTTGACAGAGTTATGGTTTTTCATGCGCTGAACTAGAAAATACTGGCAAAAGAGTGTAATTCATGGCAGAAAGTAAATATGAAGCCAATGATTCTTACAAGAGCGCAACGTTTACAAAGTGGAACCACCTGCTAGATGGTATCTGGAATGTTAATTCATTTAGTTGTGAATATCACTGTGTGGTACAATTGATAGAGGACTCATCAAGTATATTCATCTCATTTTTTGGCAGCAGGGGACCCCTGTACACTACAACCCCTTACACACCCCACTCTTTAGTAAATGCCACATGCACACACATTGCCCAACACTGAACACACCCCAGAGCCAGCCCACGCATGAGACAGGGTGAGACACCCGCCTTGAACAGCAGAAGTGGAGCCTTGTCCACCCCACATTTTCCTGCCCAAGAGATGCAAAAACACAGTGCGTCAAATTTGCTTGTGTTTTTTTTTCAAATTTTGTGTAACCTGAGGGATTAAAAAAGGAAACTACATATTGTTGCACCCACACCCAATCTCTGAGCGGTGTGCGATTCCAGGGGTTCCAACGCTTACCAAGGGTTCATCTTTCCTTTGGGAATGAGGCACAGTAGAGACTGTGGTGTCTTTATGATATGTGGTTTATTTACACATATATACAACCTGAGGCTACGGTGGAGGGGTTCACAGCATTAACAAAAGGGTCTTGTTTCTCCCATAGCTGTGCTGGTTTGCTTTCAAACTGCTAGGTTGGCAGGAGCTGGGACAAAGCAACTGGAGCTCAGCCTGTCGCACAAATTTGAACTGCCGACCTTCCGATCGGCAAGCCCAAGAGGCTCCATGGTTTAGACCACAGCGCCACCAATGCAACAGGAATTGAGAATATGACAAACTTTTCCAATCCACTCCCAATTGTCGTAGTAATTTAGGGTGAACACACCCCTGTGAACACACCCCTCCAGTGTTTGAGGCAGATGAAGTGGGAGAGAGTGCTAATGAAATCATTCTGCTTGTGGGCTTCCCGTAGGCAACTGGTTGGCCACTAGGAGAACTGGATTCTAGACTAGATGAGACACGAGAGACATGAGAATCCTACCTGCCATGGGTAAACATTTGAAAGGTTCCATGTCCCTCCGTCTCCTATTGACTTCTGCATAGATCTTGAAGAAAACATGGCATGGAGAGCATGTGCTACAGCATAAACAGCATTGTAGATACTGTAGCTCTGACCAGACATTCCCATTTCAAACACAGCTCCAGGGAGGCTCCACAGCTTCTCTTCCCCAGTACAGTTTCTTGCATTTATTCGATAAATGTTGTAAGTGGGGAATGAGCAGTTGAATACAGTGGACCAGAACCAATGGATGAAATAAAGCATCATTTGATAAGGATTTAAAGTCTTAAGGAACTGCTCATATTCTGCCACATTGGTAGCATGGAGTGTGAAGGACAATGTGCCATTAAAAGATTTGGGTGTGAACATATCAATAATGGGTACAGATGCAAAATCCCACTGAGCTGTAATGATCCAAACCCTCTCTATTGGTTTCATTTCAACATTTTCTTGTAATGAAAGAACCATCCGTAAGACATCCATAGACCGTGAATTCCCGTGAACAAGAATCACATTGGTTTTGCTTGATGAAAGACTAGATTCTATGCTTTCCATTGTCTTCTTAATTTGCATCGTAATTCTACTGCTCCCCTTTAGTGTTGGAATTATTTCCTTAAGAGCAATACAAATGTTGTTCTGCAGCAGGGAAGGCATGAGAACCCTCAATAACATTTCTCCACTATCGTCATCTGAAACAATAAGACCAATCCAGGTCCATCCAAAATGATGAAGAAGTTGAATAATCCCAACATACTGAGGAATTTCACTAGGGATTACCTGATAGACAAAAGGGAACTGCGTTTTGTCATTCAGGGCAGGGTCAAATGAGCCATAACTGAGCTAGGAAGAATGACAATAATATTTTTTTAGACTCAATAGCAATCTCATTCATCCATTTAAATTATTTCTGTCAATAGTCAAGAAAGATAAAAGATTGAGCTCCTATATACAGAACCATGTACAGTTTAAAAAGAATAACTTAGGGGAAGGAAATCTGGTTCTGAAGACTGGAAGATGGGCAGGAAACTACTTCCTGATCTCTACCTTGAAGGCTTGTCATGATTTAGTTGGAGTGTGATTAGCTTTCATATATTTTTATTTCCATGGTATTGAGTCTCCTGTACATCACTTACAGTGATTAAGCAGTTTACAAATTGTATACAAATTGTAAAAACAAAAATTTGGCTATTTTGTCACACACTCTAAATAAAGCAGCACAGAAGGTTGGGAATAAAAGCCACATTGAAGAAGGATGGGAAGTCAGCTTTTAAATGTGTATGAAATTTGAGATTAATTTGCTTTTTAAATTGTGAAATTCAATAAAAAATTAACTGGTAAAAAAAGAAGAGATTATGCTGGCCAAACTGCTGAAACAGGTTTCTGCTGTAAAAGTGTAACTTGCTTCCTGTTCATTCACATGGATTAATACTGAGTCCTTCTGGATTTGCCTCTTAATGTAGCAGTACACAACATCCAGGCTGCAAAGGATACATCTTCCTATGCAATGATACCACTCAGGATCTGTGCAAAGCTATTAGCAGAGTCATTTGGCCACTCCAGTTGTGAGCATGGGAAAGATATGAATAGCAAGAAAAAGATATCTTGTCCACTAATCCCCCTAGTAGGTTGCATACAGACAGACACACCTGTGGCATCTTGTAGACATTTAAGATATGGGGCATCTGCCTGGAGTTATGAGAGGTGAGCCCACCTATGATGGCCATTAGATTGTATGTATTGCCACAGATATAGTTCAGGGGACTCCCTTGTCTTTTGAATAGAACATCCATAGTCTCAGAACATGATCCCATTTGATTGCGAGCACTTTGAGCAAAGATGGACGACATAGTTGTGTTGGGTAAGAGGTGGGCATTCCTGTTGATCTCATTCGTGACAAATGCAAAGACAAGGGCTTGGTGGTAGTGATTCGGCAGTATGCTGCAATGACATTTCAATGTAGACTCAGGAATATCACATATCCATTAATTTAAAATACATAGAATCAACTAAATTCTCCAGTAGATGCTGTTTTAGAACTACTGGTGTGCAGCAGATATTACCTGCTTAAGTCTGACATATCTTCAGCCTTTTAATTATTATCCCCTCATTATATTTCTTTTACAGATTTCATGTGTTTTATTTGAAGACATATGAAATGATTCATTAGCTGTGTTTGCGTGTAATGGAAGTATTCTGCTTTGAGGTAGTGCTCTCTTCTTAAGCATTTTTCCTTCTGTCTAATAATAAATGAGTGAATGGGGAAAGACACACAAACCTTTCTCTGCTTTCTGCCATTACAAAAGGACTGGTAGATCAATTTTAGCTGCCCTTCCTCATAGCTCTTATACTTGTTGTTGTTTAGTCGTTTAGTCGTGTCCGACTCTTCGTGACCCCATGGACCAGAGCACGCCAGGCACCTCTGTCCTCCACTACCTCCCGCAGTTTGGTCAACCTCATGCTGGTAACCTTGAAAACACTATCCAACCATCTCGTCCTCTGTCGCCCCCTTCTCCTTGTGCCCTCCATCTTTCCCAGCATCAGTGTCTTCTCCAGGGAGTCTTCTCTTCTCATGAGGTGGCCAAAGTACTGGAGCCTCAGCTTCACGATCTGTCCTTCCAGTGAGCACTCAGGTCTGATTTCCTTAAGAATGGATGCATTTGATCTTCTTGCCGTCCATGGGACTCTCAAGAGTCTTCTCCAGCACCATAATTCAAAAGCATCAATTCTTCGGCGATCAGCCTTCTTTATGGTCCAGCTCTCACTTCCATAGCTCTTATACTTATACTTCCTCATAGCTCTTATACTGGGTGGGTTTCCCCAGCCACTCTGGGTGGCTTCCAACAAAATATTAAAAATACGATAAAACATCAAATATTAAAAACTTCCCTAAACAAGGCTGCCTTCAGATGTCTTCTAAAAGTCAGATAGCTGTTCATTTCCTTGACATCTGGTGGGAGGGCATTCTGCAGAATGGGTGCCACTACCGAGAAGGCCCTCTGTCTGGTTCCCTGTAACCTCACTTCTTGCAGTGAGGTGACTGCCAGAAGGCCCTTGGAGCTGGACTTCAGTGTCCTGGCTGAACGATGGGGGTGGAGACACTTCCCAATACTACAGATGGGGTCTTGCCTGACTGATGGATCCCCCCTACAATGAAAATCCCTCAAATTAAACAGAAGAGTTACTGTGAAACTATCCCATGAAAGTGTTCACTTCCCCCCCCCTTACACTGTAACATGTCTCATTATTTGTACTTGTTTCTCCAAGCTGAACCTTTTGAATTGAAACTCACTGAAAGCTGTGGATTATTTTTAAGGAAGCTAAAATTAGTAGGAATTTCCCCAATGAAGGAACTTCATTTCAAAGCCCTGTGATGTAGCATCTGTGCTGTTTAAATGTAGGTGTGGAAGGCTCAGCTTCTCCATCAAGGGAGAAACTTTGGTACCAGATGCATATAAAAATTATGCCATTTTCAAGAGACTTCATCTCATGCACAATCACCATTATTTGCTGAATGGGAAATAGAATTGGAAGCCTTGTAATGTTGCAGCAAGGCTGCTGGATTGTACTGTGGAAAGGTTGGCTTCAAAAGTCATCAGTAATTAAGTCAGAATTGATAAATTGCACTGACTGTTGGGGAATTGCTGTAGCTCCATGGTAGAGCACCTGGTTTGCATGCTGAAGGTCCCACCTTTAATTCCTGGCATCTGCAGGAAGAGCTGGGAATACCCCGTATCTAAAACCTTAGACACCCACTGCTAATCAGTGTTGGTAATCAGCAACTAGATTTGCTGATAACCTCACTAGGTACAGGATATAAGGCATCATCTTATGTTATGCGTATTACCATAACTTAGTTTGCAATACAATTATTCTGAAAGCAAAACAGTATAAAAATTGAGCAAATAACGAAAACCAATACACATCATACATTTTGCAGAATGGGGAAAAATGTATGAATGGTTTCAATATTCCCAGTCATGATTTTCATTCATAGAGGACAGAACTTCAAGGACTTAAATTCATTGGTCTTGTTGCAATTTCTATTTCTTAAAATTTTGCTGCAGGCATAGTAGTACATATTTCAAAGCCTCAAACAATGAATAACTTTGTTATATTCACACTAAGCTACTGATCTGTTATTTTAATTTAGTCAGTGGACTTATTTGCTAGAATGGTTTACTTACTAGGCTCTCATATCTGGATCTGGAGTTGTCTCATATGTGATCTCATTAAACTCGTGAATAAAGAAAGAGACAAATTCACCAACGAAAATGTTCTCTGGAATGCCATAGTCATCATGAACCTTTGTCTGCTGACCCAATCCATTGTCGGCCTTCTTGCTGACAATTTGAGGCAGCTGCAGCAGCAATAGGAGCATCAGCAGTGACATCCACCTGGCCACCATTAAATCTTGCCCGCAGCTGGGCACATACATTGTGACAGATACACAGAACAGGAGGAGCTCCAAGACGCCCCCTGATAATGGTACAAGGGGTTTAAACCAGCCTTCAACAAGGCATTTAACAAGGTTTTGCTATGCCCTCCCCTTCTGCCCCAGACCAAGGCTGAATGGATTTATTTAAAAATATTCCTGGACTGGACTAGGAGTCCTGATGGAGTTGCAGTGAAAAAAGAATGAACTGCTGCCAAGCAGATCTGGCAAAGAGGCTGAATTTGAGGGAAAATCTTGTTTCTAATTGTGTGCCGAGGAAGAACTCCAAAGTGGAATTCTAATGGGGGAGGTTGCTATATGCATTCTGTGATTTAATTACGGATGCAGCTCGTAAGCTAGTCGGTAAATGGTGGAAGAAATGGAATGTGACCTTGTACCATCCAGATAAACACCGCAAAGAACAGAATAATGGAAGATGGTAATAAACTCTCCCCAGCACACTAGGTCTGGAACAGCAAATGTATGTGAAAGACTACACACATGAAATGGATTACTTGTTTATAAGATGTATCGGAGGTGGGAAAAGCAGCCAGCTGGAAGAATGGTTTAATGGCAACTGAAGGATGCCAACTGGACTTTAAATAAGAAATGATGCAGCTATGCGAGGAAATGGTGGTGATGATATGTTTGGAACCGGAGCAGGAAACCTGATTTTAAGAAACTGTCTTAAATTAATTTAATCTGGTTTGATTTGTATTTTGGGAAATTAATAAAAAATAATAATTTGAAGGGGGGCAAAACCCACCAACTTTCTAGAGTCACTGATTCCAATCAAAGTTAGGTTTGATAGACCCATTCAAAAAAGCCTTGTATAAAAAATGGTTTGAAAAATTATCTTTATACATGGAGAGCAGCATGACAGGAACTCCTGGGGTAGACTGATTTGTGTGTTTTTCTTTTTCTTATAGCAATGGGATCCCAACTCAATTACATGAGGATAGTGGTTTTGATAATTGCAGGGTAGATAATTTCCTTCTCTAAGATACTCAACTCTTAACAAAGTCACCAAAAACTTATTTCTCAACTTCATATCCAGTGCTTGCTAATGAAAAAGCCACTGCACAAATTCAAGGCATGTTGGGTATTATAGGAACATGGGAACTTGGGGCCAACAACATATTTGGAATAATAAAAAAACTGTCGCTTAATGACCACATATGCATCCCACTCACAACCCAGATAACATAACAGTGCAAACCTTTTTTTGCCAACTGATTTTAATTGTTTTTCAAAAAAAATTAAACTAATTAACATGAAATTAATTCAAATTTAAAAGTTGACTTCCTGCCCCTGCTACCTTGATGTTTCACTTCCCATCCTTATTTGATGCCCAGTATTACATACATTTCAAAAAACTTAACACATTTTAGCATTTTGTCCTTAATTTTTCTATTTTCCTCTTCTTCATTTTCCATTGGCTGCTCTTTTTCAATTTCAATAAGCATAGCATATTCCCAAATATCAAGAAGAGTTACTTGTCACTTTGTGAGCCCACATAAATCTTTAGTTATAAATCAATAATACATACAATGGTACCTCGGGTTACATACAATTCACGCTACATACGCTTCAGGTTACAGACTCCACTAACCCAGAAATAGTACCTCGGGTTAAGAACTTTGCTTCAGGATGAGAACAGAAATCGTGCTCTGGCGGTGCAGAGGCAGTGGGAAGCCCCATTAGCTAAAGTGGTGCTTCAGGTTAAGAACAGTTTCAGGTTAAGAACGGACCTTCAGAACGAATTAAGTACTTAACCCGAGGTACCACTGTACATACAACCCATTTCTCCCACTGTTTTTCATGGAAAAATATCTGACTGGTTCTAATACACACAAACTCCTCTCCAGTCCCAGCATTCTATTCCTGCCCAAAGGCTTTACGTTTATATGTTCTCTGTCCTATCCATATGCCCATTATTTTCTCGTCCTCCCTAATCTTTATTGCAAGTACTTTGAATACCAGATTGAATTACTATCAATCTGGAGATAAGGGGAATCCTTATCTTGTAGCTTTTTAAAATTCAGATATGATTCTTTTTCTTTACAAGCTGATCTCTACTGTTCAGTTCAGGCCTCAGTACAATAATGTACAATTTGGGGAAGAAGATGCAGCCCAGCAAACCCACACTAGAGGCTAAAATGGAGAAGATCTCCACAGCCACCATGTATTTTCCTTTGGTGCTCAAGTAGGTGGGGACAAAGGACAGCCAAACACTGCAGAACACTAACATACTGAAGGTGATAAGCTTGGCTTCATTGAAAGTATCAGGCAGCTTCCGGGCAAAGAAAGCCACAGTGAAGCTGATGATGGCCAGAAGACCCATGTAGCCCAGGACAGTATAAAACATGGCGGCTGATCCTTCATTGCACTGCACAATGATTTGGGTAGTCTGTGAATGCATGTCAAACTCTGGGAAGGGAGGAGAGGTTGCCAACCACAGTGCACAGATGCCAGTTTGAATAAGAGTGCAAAGGATGATGACTGATACTGCCAGCCTCTTCCCCACCCATTTCCTCATCCTGTTTCCTGGCTTGGTGGCCATGAAGGCCAGAACCACAGTGATGGTTTTTGCCAGGACACAAGAAACAGCAAGACAGAAGACCATCCCAAAGACTGTTTGACGGAGAAGGCAGGTCACCTTGCCAGGCTTTCCAATGAATAGGAAGGAGCACAGAAAGCAAAGCAATAGGGAAATGAGAAGTGTGCAGGTGATGTTCCAGTTGTTGGCCTTGACAATGGGAGTCTCCTGGTTTTGAATGAAGATCCACATCACCACTAGTGTGATCAGAGAAAGGAACAGAGCAAATGAAGCCAGAATTATTCCCAAGGATTCTCCATAAGCTAAATAGACAATATGCTTAGGAATGCAGTGGTCGTGGTTCTTGTTTGGATGCTGGTCCTCAGGGCACTTGTCGCAATGGTCTGCATCTGAAAGTTATAAGTCTCAAGAATGTAAAAGTGGAAATGAATCTCCTTAAAACTAGAGGGCATCAACTGCTTAATACACTTTGGATCTATTCCTCCAGAAAAAGAGGAATGGAATGCTCCATTCCATTACAGAAGATCTGGCATGATAATCCTAATTTAGATTTTTTTGGGGTATAATACAGGGATGATAGTGGCACTGAATTATTCAATTTATTTGGTGTTCATAATAAGGAACAGCACACATTCTGCCCAGAATATTATTTGGCACATTGTATCATTCATGCAAAATAGGAAATTAATTGAGATTATAAAATTTAATCCTAATTGTTTTAATCCTCATTGTCTTTAGTGTGCTGGCATCTACTCTTTGGAATCCCCTCCTATCACTCAGGACTCATCTCTGTTACCTTTTCAATCCCTGTTGAATTTCTTCCTGTTCCAGTAATCCTTTTCAATCAGGATTTTATCCAAGTCTGTTTCTGAATTGAAGTTATTTTTGAAAGCACATTTAGTTATTTTAATAAATAAATAAAATAAGTGAATAAATGCCTTCACTTGGTTATTGATTAGAGAAGCCTTTCTCAACTGGTGGGTCCCCAGATGCTGTTGAACTACAACTCCCATCACCCCTAGCTAGCATGGCCAGAGCTCAGGGATGATGGAAGTTGTAGTCCAACAACATCTGGGGACCCACAAGTTGAGAACCGCTGGACTAGAGAGAGGGAAATCTATAGCACAGATCACTGTCCAAATAGCTCAATGTGTGCATATACTCTATGAAACATCTGACGTGATATGAAATTATCTGTATCCACATCAAATAAATAGTGTAATGGTGTAAGCAGTAAGTGATGAACACGCATGTGTAAAACAGCCCTTTGAGCCCATTTAATATTACTGGACTCTGGACTCATGGAAGTGTGAAATCTCTACTTTGTTGTTGTTGTTGTTTAGTCGTTTAGTCGTGTCCGACTCTTTGTGACCCCATGGACCAGAGCACGCCAGGAACTTCTGTCTTGCACTGCCTCCCGCAGTTTAGTCAAACTCATGCTGGTAGCTTCGAGAACACTATCCAACCATCTCGTCCTCTGTCGCCCCCTTCTCCTTGTGCCCTCCATCTTTCCCAGCATCAGTGTCTTCTCCAGGGAGTCTTCTCTTCTCATGAGGTGGCCAAAGTACTGGAGCCTCAGCTTCACAATCTGTCCTTCCAGTGAGCACTCAGGGCTGATTTCCTTAAGAATGGATGCGTTTGATCTTCTTGCAGTCCATGGGACTCTCAAGAGTCTCCTCCAGCACCATAATTCAAAGGCATCAATTCTTCGGCGATCAATTCTCTACTTACCCATCAGTTTTGAAACTGTTCCTTCAGAGCACTGAGGACAATCGTGGCAACAAATCTGTTTCCCCTGACGCAAAATCCTACTGTGTCCAGGACGGCAACTCTCAACACACGTGGATTGTGGTAGGCTTCTGTTAATATCCAGAAAGAATGGATTTACATTGTAGACCAATGATGAGGTGACTTTCAAATGACAGCTTTCTTAATTTGACCTGTCCCATGTCATGAGACAAAGGTTCTTAAGAGCAGAAGCAGTAAGGGAAGGCCTACAAGGCCTATACAAACAGATGCAAATAAACTACTTTCTCTTTTAGCTTGCATATTGAATTTTATCCCTTTTTGCACAGTCACACAGTCACAGCTAATCCCGACTCATTTGTTAGAATTCTTCATCCCTCAGATGTTCCATCACATTCCTTGTCTTATTGCTTTCTCTATCTCAAATGCTTCCTTCATCTCCATTTCCATGTCAGCTTCAAACCTCATATGAAACATACAATGCTGTCAGACCCTTGGACACCTTTGCTTAGTATCGCAACTCTGATGGGCTTCAGCTCAAAATGGTTGCAGTCAGAGCTCCCCGCCCCCAATCTCTGCAGATGTGAAGCAGACGAAGCATCATTTTGGGTGAAGCAGTATTGTGGGCTAAATTTCAACCCTTAGCAAACCAAATTTGGCCAATGGGCAGAAGATTCTTGCAGACCAATTGGCCCCAGGGGAAAGCTACATTTGCCTGGCATGGCAGATGTTTTCCCCACCTGCTATAATTGTATAATTTAATATCCTATGCACCAGTCATATTTTCTATTCAATCAGTTGTCTTTAATTTTATTAGGATTAGTTAGGATTTCTGCATGTTTTTGAACCAGGACCAGCCACAATTTGGCCTTAGGACTATCGTCAAACTTAAAGCACAGGAAAATGATCGTCCTCCCCACTTGGTTAAAATTTGATTACATTCAATCACATTTCTATTGATGATGGGGTTTTTCCCTCCAGAAGGCAGTGGGCCTAACCTTCCCACATGGACTCTATTGGTGGACTTATTGGATAATATGACTGTACTGGTAACATCTAGCTCAGGCATCCCCAAACTCGGCCCTCCAGATGTTTTTGGATTACAACTCCCACCATCCCTAGCTAACAGGACCGTGGTCAGGGATGATGGGAGTTGTAGTCCCAAAATATCTGGAGCGCCGAGTTTGGGGATGCCTGATCTAGCCAATTGCTAGACTGGCTGGCTTGCTGTCAGAGGACACATCCCTTGTAGATTTGCTGTAAGTGTGTTTGTGACTATGAATGAGAGTTCTCTACCTTTGTTTTCTCAGCTGTATTCAATAAACATTGCATTTTGAATTCTCCCCATATAAGGTTATCAGGAGGCGGAGTTACGCCAAGACCAGACCATGTCATTACCGAGGAGGCAGGTTTAGTCGTTGTTTGAAGACTATCCCTGCCTCCGGGTCTGGCCTTGACCGGATGGATACTGGAATCAACAGGGGAAACCCACATAACCTGAAGGTGTTGCTGTGTAATGCCAGGTCAATGATGAATAAAACCACTGCCATCCACGACCTGATTGTGGATGGAGGATTTGACCTGGCATGTGTGACAGAGACCTGGTTGGATGAAGCGGATGGGCCTGTCCTTGCTGCCGCTTGCCCACCAGGTTTCTCTTACGCACAGCAACCCAGGTCATGTGGGCGGGGAGGGGGGTTGCAGTGATTTTTAGGAAGTCATTAGTTTGCATCAGGCGTCCTACTGGGAAGACCCAGTTTTCTGAGTGCATGTTCTGGAAGTTGGGCAATAGGGGCAGTACAGGATTCCTTTTGGTGTACCGACCTCCCCGCTGCACCAAGGATTCCCTGTCCGAGCTGCTTCAGGTCGTGGCGGATGTTCTCCTGGAGACACCTAGTTTGGTTGTCCTAGGGGATTTTAACATCCATACCGACACGACCTTACAAGGGGCCGCTCGGGACTTCGTGGAAAGCATGGCCTCCATGGGGCTGTCCCTGAATAAGTTGGGCCCAACTCATAGTCATGGACATGCCTTAGACCTGGTATTCACCTCTAGTGATGTGGGTGATCTGACACTAAGTAAAAGTGAAACTAAAGAAGTGCCATGGTCAGATCACTTCCTGGTGCAACTGGACTTCTCCGCGACCCTTCCCCTCTGCAGGGAGGTGGGACCAATTCGGATGGTCCGCCCCCGCCACTTAATGGATCCAAATGGTTTCCAGAGAGTGGTAGGGGATGCTTTATCCCATGTTGATTGCCTTTCAGCTGATTCCCTGGTGGCCCGCTGGAATGCGGAGTTAACCAGGGCTATCGACTGTCAGGCTCCGAAGCGCCCTCTCCGATTGCATGGAGCCCGGACAGCCCCGTGGTTTTCTTCGGAGCTGAGGGCGATGAAACAATCGCTGAGACGGCTAGAGCGTCGGTGGCAGAAAACTCACTCCGAATCTGACCGGACACAGGTTAGAGCTCAACGTCGAGCCTACCAAGTGGCGATAGCGACGGCGAAGAAGACTTTCTTCACCGCCTCTATTGCATCTGCAGAAAATAGTAGCAGGAGACTCTTTCAGGTGGTCCGCAATTTAACGGAACCACCTTTAACACCGGGGCCTTGTAAAGACCCCAAGATCTCCTGCAACGATTTTGCAAAGTTTTTTGCAGATAAAATCACTCATATTCGGAAGGAGCTAGACACCACCGTGGGAGCAGGGCTGGGGCGGGAGAGTGCTAGAGCTCAGTCTGGTCAAGTTGCATTGGAACCAATTTCAATCCGTTACCCCCGAGGATGTGGACAGGCTGCTTGGACGCGTGAAACCAACCACCTGTCTCCTTGATCCTTGCCCATCCTGGCTAATAAAAGCAAGCCGGGAAGGGCTGGGCGATGGGCTCTGCGGGGTGGTGAATGCTTCCCTCTGTGAGGGAACATTCCCAGATCCGCTGAAAGAGGCGGTCATTAAACCGCTTCTTAAAAAACCATCTTTAGACCCGGCCAGTATGGCCAACTATCGCCCAGTCTCAAATCTTCCATTCTTGGGCAAGGTGATTGAGCGTGTGGTTGCTGAACAACTCCAGGCACGCCTGGAGGATGCGGACCATTTGGATCCCTTCCAATCGGGGTTCAGGCCTCATCATGGGACTGAAACTGCCTTGGTCGCACTGGTTGATGATCTCCGGCGAGCTAGGGACAAAGGTGAGAGCTGTTTCCTAGTTCTGCTGGATCTCTCAGCGGCCTTTGATACAATCGACCATAACATCCTCCTGGACCGTCTAGAGGGGCTGGGAGCTGGGGGCACTGTTATACAGTGGTTCCGCTCCTTCCTCCTGGGCCGTGTTCAGAAAGTGGTGGTGGGGGATGAGTGTTCAGACCCTTGGGCCCTCACTTGTGGGGTACCTCAGGGTTCCGTCCTCTCCCCCATGCTTTTTAACATCTATATGAAGCCGCTGGGAGAGATCATCAGGGGGTTTGGACTGGGTGTCCATCAATATGCAGATGATACCCAGCTCTACCTCTCTTTCAAATCAGAGCCGGTGAAGGTCCTGTGTGAGTGCCTGGAGGCGGTTGGAGGATGGATGGCGGCTAATGGGTTGAAGTTGAATCCTGACAAGACAGAAGTACTGTTTTTGGGGGACAGGGGGCGGGCTGCTGTGGAGGACTCCCTGGTCCTGAATGGGGTAACTGTGCCCCTGAAGGACCAGGTGCGTAGCCTGGGAGTCATTTTGGACTCACAGCTGTCCATGGAGGCGCAGGTCAATTCTGTATCCAGGGCAGCTGTCTACCAACTCCACCTGGTACGCAGGCTGAGACCCTACCTGCCCGCGGACTGTCTCGCCAGAGTGGTGCATGCTCTAGTTATCTCCCGCTTGGACTACTGCAATGCTCTCTACGTGGGGCTACCTTTGAAGGTGACTCGGAAACTACAGCTAATCCAGAATGCGGCAGCTAGACTGGTGACTGGGGGCGGCCGCCGAGACCACATAACACCGGTCTTGAAAGACCTACATTGGCTCCCAGTACGTTTCCGAGCACAATTCAAAGTGCTGGTGTTGACCTTTAAAGCCCTAAATGGCCTCGGCCCAGTATACCTGAAGGAGCGACTCCACCCCCATCGTTCTGCCCGGACGCTGAGGTCCAGCGCCGAGGGCCTTCTGGCGGTTCCCTCATTGCGAGAAGCAAAGCTACAGGGAACCAGGCAGAGGGCCTTTTCGGTAGTGGCGCCCGCCCTGTGGAATGCCCTCCCATCAGATGTCAAAATGATAAACAACTACCTGACATTCAGAAGACATCTTAAGGCAGCCCTGTTCAGGGAAGTTTTTAATGTATGATATTTTAGTGGGGTTTTTGGTTTCTATGGAAGCCGCCCAGAGTGGCTGGGGAAACCCAGCCAGATGGGCGGGGTACAAATAATAAATTATTATTATTATTATTATTATTATTATTATTATTATTACATAATTATTTCAGGTTGTGCAGAGATTGAGTACATTCCCAACAATAGCAGCCTTATGGTCTAGCTAGCCACTTATCAGCAGAAGTAACAGCATCCTTCAGCCTTGCTTATTTTTTTTATATCACTCAGACCATCTCTGGTTCAAAGAGGTTCCAAGCAGGTTTTTTAAAAGGATTTCTGATGCTTATTCTTAAAATATCTGCACAGTATGACCTTTAAACCATTCCTTGGTGGAATCAGAAACAGCCAGATTTGGTCCTGGACCTATAAAGAGATCAGTAGGCTCTGGAAAAAAATAGTAATTTTCACCTGGTTAAACTTGTGGTTCCACACAACAGCACTTCCATTGATGGTGAATTTCTTCCCTTCAGGAGCCTGTGGGTCCACCCTTCCAACACAGACTCTATGGATGGACAGATTGGAAAAGGTGACAGTGTTGACAATATCATATCCAGTTGCCAAGTCTCCATTTTCATCAAAAAATATTTCTTCTCCAGCACTATTGTTGAAGTGGATGAGCTTCAGAAAGGAGTGAAGCTTGATTGGAGAAGGAAAGACATTAATTGAGGCTTTGCTCTCTTCTTTCAAGCCAAGACGAAGCATTCCAACACTCTATTCAACTTAGCAATGTTCACAGTGGAGTGGATTCGAAAGCACCATCATCTTGCTTCACATAAAATGGAGTCTCTCTTTCACTTCATACCTCCCATGCGACCAATGTTAGCCAATCACATAAGAACTACTAGAGAACTCTCCAGAATTCATTTACCAACCAATCCACTTTAAACACACAGCAATGCATATTAGGGACGCGGGTTAGGGAGGTTCATAAAAAACATTTTTTTAAAAAAATGCCTGCTCCAAAGGTCTTATCTCAGTACACTAGGGATTATAGAGCTCTATCTGAAATTTCATGCATATCAGTTAATATACTGACCCTGCTCCATTGGATTGAAATTTCAGCCTTCACAACATAGGAAAACAGCCAAGTATACAACTATTTTTGTGGAGGAGGGTCGAGATATTAACTGATATGCATGAAATTTCAAAACTTTAAGCAACTTTTGCTTAAAGTTGCATTCAGTTAACTTAGCCAGCCAACCAATCAATCAAAAAGCAAATAACATATTTTTAAAAACAAATCTAAAGAGTTACTTTTTGCTACCACCCATCACCCAGAAGTGACTGGCAATGATAGGACTGGCAAATCTCCCATTGACCGAGCCTGGAAAAGTGAAGGCTATGGTGTAGATATCTCATATCTTGATGTCAGAACATGTGACTGATTCTGGTGTTTAAGTTAAAAGTGGACATGCTTCCTTCCCCTACCTCCAACCTTCCAAATGTTTTCAATTACAATTTTCACAATTTCTTATCATTTGTCATAAGGGCTTGTGGTGATCAAAGTTGTAGTCCAAACAGAACCAGGTTAAAGAAATTGCTGTAGAAAAATTCAAAACTTTCAAAGAAACAGCTCATCATAAACCAAGGATTGAGAGAGAAAAGAAGTCTGACTCCAATCAGTTTCAAAAATCTACTACAACAAAGGACATTAATCTGGACATTGAAATGCATTTGAGTACAGCGGTACCTTGGGTTACATACGCTTCAGGTTACATACGCTTCAGGTTACATACGCTTCAGGTTACAGACTCCGCTAACCCAGAAATAGTACCTCGGGTTGAGAACTTTGCTTCAGGATGAGAACAGAAATCGTGCAGCGGCGGCGCAGCAGCAGCAGGAGGCCCCATTAGCTAAAGTGGTGCTTCAGGTTAAGAACAGTTTCAGGTTAAGAACGGACCTCTGGAATGAATTAAGTACTTAACCCGAGGTACCACTGTACACACATTACAGTTGTGGCAGAAAGGAGACTCTTACCTGCCATGGATGGACGTTAAGATTCCGTCTGGCAGCTTTCCCCATAAGCTTCTGCTTTAATCTCGATGAAAGCATCGCATGGAGAGCATGTGCTATAACATACACAGCATTGTAGATACTGTAAGCTTGGCCAGACATTCCCATTTCAAACACAATCTGTGGAAGGCTCCT